CGGCCAGGAGCACGAGCCTCCTCAGACCCAGGCCTGAACGTGACACACATCTACGTTAAAGAAGACAAAACAAACAAAAAGAACGAAAACAAACTAAAGATACTTCAGCAGGAGGAAAAACATGAAAAAACAAAAACATCACTACAGAACTCAACTTCCTTACAAGAGAATGTCTAACATTTCCTCTACAATCTGACCCCGAAGCAGCTTTCAGCCTCCTCCCTAATGCGTTAGCCACTCAGCCAGTCACCGAGCTCTGGCTGTCTCGCCCTCCTTGCTGGAGAGCCTGTCCTCCTCCCGTCGGATTCCTGCTGCTTCTTTAAGGTCCCCTCAGAGCTGGCCAGCTTTGTCGCATCCCCAGAGCTCACAGAGTTACCCTATCCCAGGCCAGGTGTGAGGGTGGCTCTGTCGGTCCCCTACAGCTGGAGGTCAAGGGCCCTGTGCCTGTTGTAGACTCAATACATGGCAATTGAACTGGCTGATCCTTCTGACTGACTCCTGGTCCTCCTGGAGGGATGGACAGGTTGACTTCTGAGGCCCCGACTAACTCTGAAATCCATTGATGCTATGACCCAAAGTTGAGCACCCACCCATCAACCTGCTCAAGTCCTTCTGAACTAAAAAAATTAAAAAATAATAAAAAATAAAAGAAACAAAAATGTTTCTTTTAATGCTTCTATACCTGGAGTTCTCAAATTATGGCCCAAGGACCATTGAAGGTCCCCAAGTGCCTCTCAGGGAGTCTGTTAAGTCAAAACTATTTTCATAGTAATACAAGAGGTTGCCTTTATTTGTTTATTTTTTTTCTTTTTCTTTTTGAAACAGAGTCTCACTCTGTCACCTGGGCTAGAGTGCCATGGCGTCAGCCTAGCTCACAGCAACCTCAAACTCCTGAGCTCAAGGATCCTGCCTCACCCTCCTGAGTAGCTAGGACTATGGGAATGCACCACCATGCCCCGCCAATTTTTCTATTTTTAGTAGAGACAGGGTCTCACCCTTGCTCAGGCTGGTCTTCAACTCCTGAGCTCAAGTGATCCTCCCGCCTCGGCCTCCCAGAGTGCTAGGATTACAGGCATGAACCACCACACCTGGCCTAGAGGTTGTGTTTTCACTCGCATTTTCTCATGAGAGTGCAGTGGAGTTTTCCAGAGGCTATATGATACATGCATTTGCGACACATTGAATGGAGAAGCAGATTAGAATCCAGTGGCATATATAAGGGTCCTTCAGAAAGTTCATGGAAAAATAGAATTAAACAAAGAAATAGAATATATTTTCCATAGATGCCTTAAAAAAAAAAAAAGACCTTATTTCTCAGCATAAGCTCCATCAAAGTTCAAGAAAATTTTGGAGTTTTTTTTCTTTTTCTTTTTCTTTTAATTTTTAAAAATTTAAAAGAAAGATTACAGGGCTAGTTGATTCGGCAGGTGAGTTGTTACACACGCCTTAGTGGATTCTGACTTGGATGGCCACCGTCCTGCTAAGAAAATTTTGTAAGTGATGATACTAGCCATTTAGTACATCCCTAAAAATCTGAGTGTCCTGGTAATTTAACCATGTCAATGCAGCCTTTTTTATATTATTAACTGAAGAAAAATGGGTGCCCTTTAATGATTTGTTTTTAAGATTAGGAAACAAAAAGAACTCAGAAGGAGCCAAATCAGGACTGTAGCTGGGTGCAGTGGCTCACACCTATAATCCCAGCACTTTGGGAGGCCAAGGCAAGAGGATTGCTTGAGGCCAGGATTTCAACACCAGCCTGGGGCAACATAGCAAGACCTTGTCCCTTTAGAAAAATAAACGAACAAGTGCAGGGTGTGGTGGCTAACGCCTGTAGTCCCAGCTACTTGGGAGGCAAGAGCATCACTTGAGCCCAGGAGTTGGAGGTTGCAGTGAGCTATGATGACGACACTGCACTTTACCCAGGGCAACGGAGTGAGACTCTGTCTCAAAAACAACAACAACAACAACAAAATCAGGACGGTAAGGCAAATCTCTAATGATTTCCCATTGAAACTCAGGTAAAATTGCCCTTGTTTGATGAGAGGAATAGGAAGGAACGTCACGGTGGAGGACTCTCTCGTGAGGCTTTCCTGGGCAGTTTTCTGCTCAAGCCTTGGCTAACTTTCTCAAAATACTTTCATAATAAGCAGATGTCATCATCCTTTGACCCGCCAGAAAGTCAACAAGCAAAATGCCTTGAGCATCCCAAATAACTGTTGCCATGACCTTTGCTTTTGACTGTTCCGCTGTTGCTTTCGCTGGACTGCGTCCCCTCTCCATAGCGGTGGCTTCGATTGTGTTTGGCTCCAGGACCTAACCGGGGAAGCTGTGTTTCAGCTGTTACAATTTTTCAAAGAAAGGCTTCAGGCTCTTGATCCCAGTTGTTTAAAATTTCCATTGAAAGCTCTGCTCTTGTCTGCAGCTGATCTGGACTTAACGGTTTTGGCACTTGCTGAATGGAAAGTTTGTTCAACTTTAATATTTTGTAAGAATTGTGTGAGCTGAGCCCATTGAGATGTCTATGGTATTGGCCATTGTCTCTGTTGTTAATTGTCGGTCCTCCTCAATTAGGGCACAAACAAGATTAATTTTTTCCTTAAAAATTGATGTGGATGGTATGTCGCCATGGGCTTCATCTTTAACATTGTCTCATCCCTTCTTCTTTTTTTTTAAATGGAGACAGAGTCTTGGTCTGTTGCCCAGGCTGGAGTGCGGTAGCAGGATCATAGCTCACTGCAGCCTTGAACTCCTGAGCTCAAGGATCCTCCTGCTTCAGCCTCCCAAGTAGCTGGGATTACAGGTGCGAGCCACCATGCCTGGCCTGTCTCATCCATTCTTAAAATGAGTTATCCATTTGTAAACTGCTGATTTCTTCCAGATACTATCCTCATAAACTTTTTATAAAGCATCAGTGATTTCACCCTTCTTCCACCCAAGCTTCACCACAAATTTTTTTTTTTTTTTTTTTTTGCCTTTCTTATCTGGGTCATGGGATTTACCACAGATTGATATTTATTCTTTTTTCAATTTTAGCAGAATTCATGTTGCTCTGATAGGGGCTCTTTTCAAATTGATGTCTTATCTTTCTTTGTGCATCAAACTAGATCCCATTTAGACATGTTATAACAAATTAGTATGAGTTTATTTTGGTGGAAAAAATTTTGAAATCCATGCATAGTTTTTTCATAATATGCATTTTCCATGAACTTTTTTGAAGAGCCCCCCATATTAAGTTAGATATAAAAAAAAATACAAAACAATGGCCAAGTTCAGTGACCCCAGAGAAATGCCACCCGCACAGCACCGCTCACTAGGCCAGCCCTAGTGATGCAGTCCTGCCACCTGTCCAGCACGTGTGCCCTGCCCCATGCTGCTCTGCGCCAGCTGATCTGACTTTGCCTCCCTCTCAGGCACATAGTGTTCCCTGACTCTCTGTTCCCCAGAAGCTCCTTCTCAGGCTCCCACCCCCAGAAAGCCCTCCCCGACTGCCCTGCTCAGGTCAGGAGCCCATTCCAGATGCTCAGGGCACTACTCTCCTCCCACTTCACACTGAAAGTCACCCTATTTCTAGACTCCAAGATCCTTGAAGAGGAGGATTTCTTTTCCGCTGCATCCCCAGAGCCTAGAATGGTGCCTGGCACACAGTGGAAACTTAGTAAACACTTGCTGAATGAATGGCTTGAAGAATGCATGCCCCCCACGTGCACCTGGCAAGCAGCCCTCCCGAGCTCCATTCAGCTCCCAGTACAGAGCAGGGCTGTGCTCTGGCTGTCTGGCTCTGCCTTGGCATAGGAGGCGGCTGCCCAGGGCTCCCTGCCACCTGCTGCCTCCTCTTGTTGTGTTGCCCTGACCAGGCTCCAAGAAGAACCTGGCTGGACTCCACATTTTTCCCATCAATGGCCAAGACATGAGGACACCAAGACATGGGCACACAACCCAGCCATGGGCACCTTCCCCAGGCACTACAGCTGCCCAACTTGGTCAGAGCTGACCCTGCCAGGGACACCCAGACCAATCCAGGGCACCAGGCACAAGCAGCAGCAACACATATCACACAGCCTGCCCCACACGTCATTCCATAGGTACCGTTCCCTCACAGTAGACTGATGCTCAGAAGCCTGAGTACTTTTCTCGAGGTCACTAAGCTAGTGCAGGGGTGGGGGGGGCTGCTGGGTTGGCCTCAAGCTATTCTGCTGCTAAAGCCTGTCATCTCATCCCTGTCCCCATTCTGTAGGTCCAGGAGTCGAGTGGCACTAAGGGGCCACTCCCTGGTGAGGAGCTCAGGGCCAGGCTGATCCCCTGGAGCCGGGATCTGCTCCCAAGGGCCAGGACAGGAGGAGGAGCATCCAGGGATAGGCAGGGAGTGAACAAGCAGCAGCCCTGGGCACCCGGCAACTCATTCCAGCGTGGGCAAGAGTCCTGGCGGCTCAGGGTAATGGAGAAGGCACAGCCACCACCACTGCCCCAGGCAGCAAGTGAGCACTTGGGCCCTGAAAGTAAAAGGGATACCATGTCCTCTAGGCCACAGGTCCCTGCCATCAGCCTTGCCCCAGAAGTTGTCATCATCCTACCCTAACCCACGCGCTTTAGCAGAAAGCCCAGGGTCTGGCCTCACTGTCAGGAAGAGGCAGCAGCTGACCCTGCAGCTGCAGGAAAAGCAGGTCTGAGCTCCAAGCCTTCCAGCCTCCTCAGGGAAGCTGGGAGGATGAGACACGGGGTCCCAGGTTAGTGACAGGGACACTGCTCACAAGGCTGCCTAGTAGAGCTGTATGAGCTAAATTCTGCATAAGTCAGGGGGCACTATTTGCCTGCACTAAGATGTGAATTGTACCCACGGGAGTGATGTAACTGGTAGTCCTGCCGCTCAGCTGTCCCATCCCTGGGAGAGAGGGCAGGAGAGGAAGAGGGAGCCCTTTCCCCCTTCAGGAGCCTCCCATGGCTTCACCACCTCGCTCACCCCAACCCCTCATCTAAAGAAAGAACCATATTCCAGCACAGCACAGAAAGAGACCGGTTTATGGATAATAGCATGGAACGGACTGGGAAAGTTCCAGGGCCTGTAGTGATGAGCTTCCCAGGAACAGACAGGAGTGGCCCAGACAGACCAGCAGACAGAGGGACAGGGAAACAGAACCAAATGGGTAAACAGTTGTGTCCAAGCATCAGATGAAGCTCTGCCCCGGGCATTTGGTGGAGCAGAGCTGACAGGGGCCTCCTTCCTGGTAGGGCCCCTCTCCTCACTCTCCGCTGCCCTCATCCGGCATGCCAGGGCCTTTGGCAGGTAGAGTTTGCAGGACTATGGAATGGTCGGTCGAGGTGGGCAGAGGATCAAGGCTCTTGGAGACTCCCTGGAGAGGTGGAGGGCTGGGTGGTGTGGGGTTAGCAGCACTGGGGGGAATCTGGCCAGGCTCCAGGTGCCTGGGGTGGGGCCACTGCTCAGCAGGGCCCCTGCGTCCAGGGCAGGCCCCCCACCCTGCCCACCACACCAACATGGTGCAATAAATAAAGTTTCAAGTGGTTAAGTCAGTGTTGAACAGGAGAGCTGGAGGCTTGCACATAGGCAGGGGCTTAGGAAGAGAAGCCCCAGCCACCATGTCCTGTCAGTGGGCTCTAACTGTGTTAAGTCAGTCTTGGGCATTGGAGTGGATGTCTGGCCCTGATATCCACCTGGGCCCTCCCTGCAGGGGCTCAGCCCCTCAGACCAGTGCCAAAGCCTGCTCAGTGGGGCAGAAGCAGGGCAGCAGGGTGCCCACAGCGTCCACAATGGCTGCCAGGTGCTCATCCTGTGCCTGAGGCCCACAGAGCTGCATGAAGTCTGCCAGCCGCAGCAAGTACTCAAGGTTGTGGCCAGAGAAGCCTCGGCAGGCCAGGATCTGCGTAGCGATGGCCTCCTCAGGCGCAGGGCCCAGGTAGCCAGGGTTCTGTGGGGTGGCCACATAGGCCAATGCCTTGAGTGGTTGGTCAGGGGTATCTTGAGGATAGAAAGTGACCTCCTTGGTATCGTAGCCGCCAAGCACTGCCTCCCGCACATTCAGGTACTTCAGGGCCTCGCTCACCTGCTCGCCTTGCACCTGGTACGCCACACCCCAAGTGCAGCCCTAGGAGGAAACAGGGACATCTGGGGTCAGTTACAACAGCTCCTTGCTACCTCACCCCCAGGCCCCCAGCCCCAGGGTTGTGCTCTATAAAGGACATGGGTGGCCAGCTGAGGAGCCATCTGGCAGCAACACTCAAGCCCTTACTCCCTCTTTCTTAAGGGTTGACAAGATGTTCTAGCCCAGGGGACGACAGGATTCCTGCTGAAAGTGTGGTGCAGGAACCAGTGGCATCACCTGTAAGCTTGTTAGGCATGCTGCATCTCAGGCCCCACTCCAATCCTACTGAGTTAAAATCTGCATTTCAACAAGCTCCTCAGGTGATTCTCCTGAGAAGCACTGAGCTAGACCAGCTTCTCCCCTGCCTGAGAGGCGTCAGGTCTAGCTCCCTGGCAAGGGGCTCTGAGCTCTGTCTGTCTGCACCCCTCCACACTGGGCCCCAGGGTCCCCCTCTTGGCTCAGGCGCTTACCTCATGATCTTCCAGGAGAGTCACCACACGGCCAGGCTAGAGGGGGAAGAAAGATTTTGAATAAGACGAGTTAGAAATCAGCTCTGCCATCAGTGCAAGGAAACCCTCAGCCCATTGGTCCAGGCCTCAGAGAGCCCCACTCTGCAGGCTCAGAGTCACTCCTGCAGGGGCATGTGGGGAAGTGATGTACAGACGCAGGAGAAATAGTAAGATAGATACGGGCCGGTGGCCCAGATTGGTAATCAACACAGGAGTCTGCAGGTTCACAGATTCCAGCCATCACAGTGATCCACCGGGCACACACATTTAAGCCACAAACCCCGGACACGGGTTCACACATGTCCCTCCATCGGCCCCAAGAGCCCCGAACATTCCAGGGCACCAGCGCCCACTATCCTGCCTGCATCCCCCTCATTCCCCTGGACACAGTCGGATGCTCACCATCTTGTCGCTGCCCCGATGGAAGGTGTCTCCCTGCCAGAAACGGCGGCTGTAGCCGCGCACGAAGCCCACACGGCTGTCGCTGTAGGCGAAGTCGGGCCTCCACACCAGGGAGCCGTACCCGAAAATCCACAGCGCTTGAGCATCGTCGTCGTCCCGGGGGTGCTGAGCGGAGAGCTCAGGGGACGGCGAGCGGGGCGGGGTGTTCGGGGCTGCGGATTCCTGCTTCATGGTGCCGGGCTCAGGAATGGGCCCAGGCGGCCTCCGGGGCTGGTCTCCGGCGTGGGCACGGAAGGACCGACGGACGCTCACACCTGGCCTGGCACCGCTCGGTCGCTCCAGTTGAGTCCCCCTTACGGAGGCGCCCTTTAAACCCTCTGGCCGGGAGACCCCGCCCACCGCGGCCAGCTGCCGCGGTGATTGGGGCGGGGCAAATCCCCTTTTGGCCAATCACCTTCGGATTTTGCTCCTCTCTTAACCGCGCCGCCCTCTGAGTGGGTGGCTGAGCGGTCTGCCCCGGGCCCAGCGCGCTCACTGATTGGTTCGGCTCCACCTCTGTAGCAAACCTGGCAGGAGTGATGCAACGGCAGGGGAGGTTTCTCCAGAGCCGGCATGCAGCAAGGGTGCTACGGATTGCGTCAGGTGGCGGGCAGTGGGCACTGGTCGGGCACCGACACGGGCATCGGGCGTATCCCCGGAGGCCCCTCCATGGCTTGGGCCCCGCAGGAGCCACGGCGGACGGGTCCCGGGTGGTGTCTTCCCAGCGGTCTTGCCTGTGCGCCTGGCCGCGTCACTGCCACCCCAGACAGCGCGGACTCAGTCCCAAGGCCAGCGCAAGGCACGTCCAGGAGTGCTCTGGGCGGCGTAAACTCTCCTCTCCCAGGCCCCGCCTGACAGCCATGCACTGCGGGAAAGCTGTCTGAGGCACCCTCCGCATTCCTGTCAGGTGCCTCATGCCGTTGGCCCGCGTGAGCAAATGGAGAAACTGAGTCACGGGGGCGGCAAGGGGTTCTGCCGAGGTTGCAGGGCTGAGTCAGGCCAGACGCCAGGAGCTTGCAGGCCTCACGTGAGGTCTATGCCCCCGACCAGGTGCAGGACCCCCGGAACCCAGGCAGACTCCAAGAAGAACTTGTCAAAGCACTTGGAATGGCAGGCCCAGGCCATTGCTTAGGCGATGGTGGCCACACCTACAAAGAGAGGCCTTAAAGATAGGAAATCCAAGCCAGGCTTGCCCCGCCGTGGTGGGTTTAGTTCTTCCCGGAAGGGAGATTTTGCAGCAACGGTTAACCCTTGGGCACCGAGGTTCCAGGAACTGCTAGCAAGGAGGACCCTGTTCAGGCTGTGAGCGGCTACCGGCCTTCTCCCTTGACTTCTGGCCTCCCCGCAGAGTGGGCCCAATAAGCAGCAAAAAGGTACTGCCCCCTGGAGATGTCTCTGACTGGAAAGGGGAAAAAGAGGCAGCTCAGGGCCTTCCACTCCCGGAACTGGCTCCGGGAAAGGGCTGGCAATATGGTTTCTCATTCGATTCTAATTAGATATTTAAACTAAAAATTATCTGCACACTTCACATACTCATTCAAAAGGCGTCTAAGATATATTTCCCAGTGGGAACGTTGCACAATGGTGTGTATAGGATGAAGCTATTTCTTTAAGAACAAGTTATACATTAGTATTTGTGTATGAAATAATCTGAAAGAATATGCTGTTAGAGGCTGTCACCCAAGGAGGACTATGTATTAAACCTAAACATTTATGAACAGGTTTGGATTTTTACAAGGAGCATGAATTACTTTTTCAATTGGAAGAAAAAGCACAGGCAAAATTGTCATTTCTGATTATTTCTCTTTCTCTTTCTTTCCATTCCCCATGTTCACTCTCCCCTCTTCTCTCTCTCCTCCCCCTTTTAGTTCATATGAGCACCCCCTTAGCTGCTAGCTTCTTAGAATAACCTCTTCTCCACTCACCACTGTTGGGTAGTAGTAGGATGGAGGGTGGAAACTAGCACCAGCATATTGCTGGAAGAATCTGAATTGGCACAAACAACTCTTTGAGAAGGCATCTTACTGATACAAATCAAGAATCATAAAATGTCCCTGCCCTTTGACCCCATTACTTCCACTCCAGGAAATTATTCAAAATATGGGAAAAGCCATATGCCTGAAGATATTCAATGCATTGTTATTTATTATAGCAAAAACAAAAGAAGAAAAACTACTTAAATACCCCAAAATAGCTAAATGTTTAAGTAAATTATGGTCAATTCACATGATGGAAAAATAGACTCATATACACACACAAAAGAAACAACTTAAATATCCAGCAGTAGATGATTAGTTATATAAATTTTATATAGTCCATTAAATCCATGCAGCCATTAGGAACAATTATGTATGCCTATATTTATTGACATGGAAACATATCTATGATGTATAATTAAGTGAAAAATCAGGTTATAAAGTAATCTAGTATAACTTTTTAGGCCTGAGCGGTGGCTCACGCCCGTAATCCTAGCACTCTGGGAGGCTGAGGCAGGAGGATCACTTGAGCTCAGGAGTTTGAGACCAGCCTGAGCAAGAGTGAGACACAGCTCTACTAAAAATAGAAAAAATTAGCTGGTCAACTAAAAACAGAAAAAAAATTAGCCAAGTATGGTGGCGTGCACCTCGTAGTCCCAGCTACTTGGGAGGCTGAGAAAGGAGGATCGCTTGAGCCCAGGAGTTTAAGGTTGCTGTTAGCTAGGCTGACGCCACAGCTAGCCAGGGCAACAGAGTGAGATTCTGTCTCAAAAAAAAAAGAAGAAAAGAAAAGAAAAGAAAAAAATGTAGTAAAAATGTCTATAATTGGGACATTTTTATGTCCCAATAAATGGGAACTATCGCATGCACTATGATTAAAACTATTAAAAACAAGATGCATGAGGAATAAAGGTGGGGGCACCAAAGACAATGGGTATATTGGGGTGTTGGAATTATGGGGTTTTTTCCCTCTATTTTCCAAGTTTTATGAAATGTAATTTTTAAATAATAAAAGTTACTTTTAGCCAGGTGCGATGGCTCATGCCTGTAGCCATAGCTACTTGGGAGGCTAAACTGGGAGGATGGCTTGAACCCAGGAGTTTGAGGCCACAGTGAGCTATGATCGTGCCACTTCACTTCAGCCCAGGACCCTGTCTCTATTAAAAAAAAAAGTTACTTTAAAAGAGTAGTTAGTGGTTTTCTCGTGGGTGAAGGGTGAATAGCATATCTGAATCATCTGGGGAACATTTTCACAATGCCCATTCTCAGACCTTCTCCCACTCAAACCAAAGTCCCAGGTTTTAATAACTCCTTTGATGATGTCTTCAATAACCTGATCTTGCTCCAGGCAGAATTAGACACTCTCTCCTTCGGGCTTCCACAACCCTTTAGGTCATTTCTGTTTATGTATCTGTCCCTTCCACCTTGTTCTTACAACAGAAATAACCATTTATTGAATGCTTACCGTGTGCCAGGCAGTTTGCTAAACACTTTTACATCCATGCTAATTATAAATTTCTTCACTACTTTGTGAGGTAAATATTATTTCATAGATGAGCAAACAAGAAAGGTAACCTACTCACAGTGACATAGCAGTAAGTAGTAGCATCAGGGTCCAGCTCTGAAGCCCCCCTGCTGATAATCCTTGGACATCCTGCCTCCCACTAACTTGAGAGCTCCCCAAGAGCAGGGTTCATCTCTGAAGGCCCGGAGGAATCAACACAGTGCTGGCAGGTGGAAGATTCTTCACAAACGTAAGCAGAGCAAATGAAGCTCTCCCTTGGAAAAGGCCAGGGCCGTGTCTCATGTGCTGCGTGACGCAGGTTCAACTTTGACCCTCTCAAAATAGGAATCTCCACAGAACTTGGCCAAGGGGATCTTGAACACCTTCCTGGGAACATGTCTTGCCTGTTCCCGTTCCTTGCTTATTCTTGCCCACAATATTTGTCTCTTTTCCTCCCAGAGGAACACTTCCAGGCAGTAAACCACCCACTTAGCTGGTTCCTCTGTAACATCAGCAGCAAACCCTTCCCATCTTTCCTTCTAGAATCTGCTCAGGAAGGGGCTGCAGACATCAAACCCACAGAGGTAGCAGCTCATGAGAGGTGATCGACCCAAGTATCACCTCCACCTTGCAGAGTCCACATGCTTTGCACATGATGCACACGTGGTAGCTTCCTATTTTGGACTTTCCCCAAATTAATCTTTCCTTATTGTTTCCCTTCAGGTGGTTACTTCTCATCTCCTTGTGATCTGTTCCTTCCTGCTTCTCATTCCAGACACTGAAATCAACTCCTGGTGTTAGTGAGCATAGTTATCTGAAGCAAAGAAAGGCTGTGTTTCAGGAACTAGAGAATCAGGCTAATTTTATATGCTAAATGGTGAAATTGCCTGAGAAAGCTGCTGATTTCTGAAGGATGAAAAACCTTCCAAGACACCAGCTCTAAATTCAGCTTGCTCGGATTTGAGCCCAGCCCTACCATTTACCAGCTGGGTGACCCCAGGCATGTTGTCTCTTGTCCTCAGTTGTCTCAATTGTGAAGGAGGAAGAAGAGTAACAGCATCTACCTTGTAGGGTCTGACAAAGATCGAAAGAAATAACACCTAAGCCAGTACCTGTCACATGGAAACGCTCAATTAATGTTGACTCTTTACTGTTTTTACTTCACACTTTTCACTTTCCATTTTATCCAGGGCAGAGCCATCGTCCACCTCTCAGTCTGCCACAGCTCAGAAGAACTGAGTAGGTCAGGAAAGTGATCAGGGTAAGTATTTTAGATTCAGTGGAAGAAATCTCTGGCCATCTCACCCTCCATTCTTCATATGAAGTTCACAGATTATTCCAGCAAATAAGGTGCTAAAGGAGTGTTTTTAAAAGGCAGAACGGGTAATAGTCTGCCCTAAGTAGGCTATTAATAGCATGCTTGAGCAAAGAGAAGAGATTTTCTGTGTATGCTTGGGGGTGGGGGTGTTAAAATAAATGAATTAATAAATAATCCACAATCTATGAGGGACTACATCTCCCACAGGCCTCTGAGAGATAAGTGTGTCCTGGGGTCTTTGGCCCATGTGCAAGGAGGACATAGGTCCCACTGACACTCTGGCAAAGAGATGGGAAGATGGAGGAGGGGAGTGTCTCTGTACAGTCCACCTCAGAAGAGGGAGAGACGGTCAGAGGCAGCTGTTCTGCTGGGTGTGCAGGCAAGTCCCGGGCTGATGGGGAAGGCTGCTGGGCCCTTGGTCCACAAAGCAGGGGCTGTAAGGATTCACTGATATCCTGGCAAAAGGGTACATGGGATGATGGAAGAACCCGGCTCCCTGCCCATTTTCTAGCCTGCGAGGTGGGAGAGAGAACCAGCCAATAGGGCACCTCTGGGGTGGCCGGTGTTCCGGCTATTCAGAGCTCAGTGCTCCTCCACTTGGAAGGGGAGGGACCAAGCTCCATTCCAGGGCTGAAATGGTGGGGTGGTGCCCCCAATTCCAAGGAGAGAGAAAGGTGTAGTTTGTGGGGGCAGGAAGCAGTGGGTTTCAGGGCTGAGGAGAAGCTGCAGTGGGGAGCATTGGAGTGGAGTGACAGGGCTGCACAGGAAGGCGACCCGCCAGGTCAGGGGTGAACATCAGATCCCACGAAAGTGCTGCAGTGTGGTGGACCTGGCTTCGGGAGAGAATCCTCAGAAAACAGCCCCTGTGGAGAAGTAAGACTGCTGACAAGGGGCCCGGTGGGGTTGTAGACTCTGAGTCCCAGAAGAGAGCCAAGGAAGTGAAGCTCCTTGGCCATGCCTGGCAGGGCTGTGGCTCAAGACACGGGGCAGGCTTGGGCAGGCTTGGGCCCAGAGCCCACCTGTTGCTAAATCCAGATTCCTGCAATGCTTGTGTCTGGCCATAGCCTCAGCTGGTTTTTTGGACCCTGTTCCTGGTCTCAGGGCCTTAGAGGACCTTTGGGGAGAATAAACCCACTCTTAACCAGACTGTTAAAGTGTACCATGTCCCAGAGACCAGGGAAAAGGTGGCAAAGTCACTTGTGGCAGATCTCCAAGGGGAAGGTGACTTTTGAGGACTTGGGGTCCTGCTGCCCCTTCCCATAGCAAGGGCCTCCCTTTTACCCCTGCCCACATCAGAGGTGGCTGACTCAGATTCGTGGTGTTCCTCAAAGATGGGCACACAGGGAGGCGATAGTGGTGGCAGCCTGTGAACTAAGTCTTGCATGATCCTAGAGCTACTGCTGGGACTATTCTGCCAGACCCCAAGCCCCTCTAGAGCCCACCTGGCTGCTGTGGCTGGGGGAGTGGAAGCTCCACAAAGTGGTTTACTGAGCTATGCTTGAGGTGCAGTCACCAACCAGTAGAGCTTAAAACACTGCTCACAAATGTTTCCGTATAGTAACTCATTTCAGCCTCACAGTAATGTGTAAGAGGTATTACCCTCAGAGAGGTTAAAGATAATCAGCTAGAATTCAGCGGTCCCCAACCTTATTGGCACCAGGGGCCTGTTTCATGGAAGACAATTTTTCCATGGGTGGGGGCAGGAGGCGGAGCTCAGGCGATGGGGCGATTGGGGGGCTGCAAATACAGATGAAGCTTTGCTAGTTCTTCCCCGCTCCCCTCCTGCTGTGCGGGCAACGCCCCCTCCAAGTTTCATGGAAGACAATATTTCCATGGACGGGGTGGGGGGTGTGCAGGGAGGAACGCGGAACGGCGGAGCTGTGCGGCCCGATCCCTGACAGGCCACGGACGGTACCGGGCCACGGCCCGGAGGTTGGGGACCGCAGAGATAGATGGTTGTTAGCTTCCCTGGGCAGAGACCATGTTTTGCTGTCAACGCATGGCATATAATAGGCGCTCAATCAGCGTGGAAGGAATGAAGAAATAGACTTGTCCCAGATCCCCTGGCGTTGAGCGGCGGTGCTGGAAGGGAGCTGCAGGCTCTTGACTCAGTACCATTGCCCTTTCCAGCCCGCTGGACCGGGATGGCCGGAGGACTATGGGGGTGGCGAGGGGAGCTGGCTGTCGGAGCCCACCGGGCCGGCTGCTGAGACGGCTGGAACATGTTTAAGGGCCCTGCTCCTCTGGACACCCTGAGGATATGTGGGGAAAGCCTCGAACTGGGTTCTCTCCAGTTTACTCCTTCGGCTTAAGGGCTCGGCGTCTGGGGTCACTTCTGCCCGGCAAAGACGCAAACTGAACTCAGGCGTCTGTCTGGCTGCTTCTCGTCCGCTGGCCCCCGGGATGCAGAAGGGCTGCCCCCGCGAGCCTTTGGGGACGGCGGCACCCATCGCGCACAGCCCCGACGGCCGCGCAGCGCCCTCTAGTGCCGGGCAGCGCGGCCCGGCCGTCCCGCCTGCGGCTCCGGCTTCCTGCGGCTCGGCTTCCCGCGGTCCGGCGCGGGCTCCCCGGCTGGGGGCGGGATTCGGGGAGACCGGAGGCGGGGCCGAGCGGGCGGGGAAGTCTCCGAGAAACTCGCGGCCTTCGCCAGCTTCCCGGCCCGGGAAGTGAGCCGGGGTCGGCGGCGCAAACAGGAAGTCGGGCTGTAACAAAGAGCGCGGGGGCGGGGAGCCGCGGGACCTCCAGGGCGCCGGGCGACGGCGGCGGCAGGTGGAGGGCTGACCCGGGCGAGCAGGCGCACCTGCCCTTCCGCCGCTGCTTGGGGCTCGGGCCGCAGGGATCCGGCGGTGCGCCCTGGGCGCGAGGGAGGGCGCGGCCGCCCAGGGAAAGCCGCTGGGACCTCCCAGGAGCATCCCCGCCCCGGGACGGGACAGTCACTGTTCCTTGAGTGAATCACTTCCATCCCCTTCCCGGAATGCAGCAGGCCACGTGGGGGGGAGGGCTGGGTCCGTTGATCCTGTGGACCCACGGGGAGAGGCTGGGAGAACTGCGGGGAGGGAGCCTACGGGGAGCCCTGTGGGTCCCAGTTAAGGGATGGAGCTTCCGTACTGCCCCGGTCTAGTCTAGTGGCCTTATCTAGCCTGCATGGGGGGAGTAGGAGCCAGTGTCCTCTTTTGTTTCCTACCTCCCAAGCAGCCTGACCCTGGCCCTGAGGCAGGGCCGAGGGGACCCCGGCTGAGCAAGCAGAATAAAGGCATCTCTCCTTCACAGCCCCTCCCTAATGCCCTCCCCAGTGATCTCCAGGTGGTTACCAGCCCTGGAACCCTGGAAAAGCAGCTGTCCTCAGGGCTGGAGGTCACTGTGGGGTCATATTTGTTCTCTAGGCAGGGCACTGGCTCCAGGCTGTTATGGAACTGCTAAACCCTTGTGAAATACTCGTGCAAATTAAATATGGACATTTACTAACCCAAGGAAAGCACTTCACAATGAGTCTAGTCTAGAGCTATTGTCTGGCCAATGAGTCTAGTCTAGAGCTATCGTCTGGCCTTGTTTCTGCGAAGGCTGGAATATCTACTGTAAACCTGGACACTCAAGTAGTGGGGAAAGTCTTGGAGAGCTTACCTATGATAAGGGGCTGGACCCTCAGGAAATCCTGAGGTGAGCAGGTTCACTGTGGCCTGTTCATGCACCAAGTGTCTGCCCAGCTTCTAGTATGCTGCTAGAGGCAGAGCCTGGCATGAGCTGCAGGACGGAGGTGCCCAGACCAAGTCCATGCATGAGGCCCCGCTTTCCCCAGAAAGCCAGCTTGGTGGTGGGCTCTCCCAGCTCCCACACTAGGGTATCACAGTGGCTAAGTGGGTGTAGCCAGCCAGCTCCCTCCAGGGCTCTTCTCTGAGTGTCTAGCCTCCAGTGCGGCCCAGCACAGCCTGATGGTGTGGACGTGCAGGCCAGCGGGTGTCCTACCTGTCCCCCACATGGGAGCCTCGTCATCTTGCCTTCGTGTCCCAGCCCAGTTTCCCCCGCCCCCCAGGGCCCGGGAGCTGCTTTCCTGTTTCATTTTGGGCAGGAAGAGTGAGGTCGTGTTGTTCTTCCCCCTGCTGCCGGCTCAGGCTGTGGGAACAGTTCCCTGAATGCTTTCCTGTTTGATACCCTGTGTGTGCAGGGAAGGGAACAGGCAGCGAGAAACAAGACATGGAGTGTGTGCATGCTCCTGTGTCTCTAGCAGAAGCACCCAGGTCCGAGGTGGCATGCTGTGACCGTGTCAGGGAGAGAAGAAAGAGGGAGGGCAACTCGTGCTCCAAACACTGGGCTGCATGAGGAGCCAGGCATCTGGCAGGTCTATTTTGCTTTACCGTGGACAGGCCAAGAGCTGGGAGCATCTGCTCAGCTTTTTGTCAGTGGCTCATTTGTTCATCATTTGCTCTCCAGGAGGAATATTTGTGACTGTAGAGAGAGGACTGTGCCACCCTAGGGACTGGCCTGTGCCTTAGAGGAAGCTAGGCATGAAACTCCTAGCTAGACTGGAAACTCCCTCCTTAGTACCTCTGCCAGAGAAACCTGGACTCAGGGAGGGCCACCCACTCTTCTCCTCCCCCGCCCTGTAGCCTTCCGTAAGCTCCAGCAGCCCTGGGTGGTGGACAGGGTGCCCCAACTCTCAGCTCTCTTGGCCAACTGCACGGAGGACAAACGTAAGGCCATCATTCCTCCTGCCCTGTCCCCTGAGACCAGTGCATCCTCCATTGGCAGAAGGAATGACCCAAATGTCATCATGATTCAGAGACCCTTTCTCTGACAAGAGAATCCTTTTGAATAAGAGAAAAACAGGCAGAACTAGGGAGCCCCATAAGCTTTTTCAGGCTTGTGGAGAGAAAGGAAGGATAGATTCAGGTCGGGGGGAACATCCACCAAGGAATGGTGGGAGTGTGAAGAGGGTAGCGGGGAGCTACGTCCGACCTCCAAGGCACTGGGCAAGGAAGGCTGGCCTAGGCTGGGGACTAGGGGGTGAGGCTGAGCTCTTCAACTGGAATGGGACAAGGGCCTGGGGCACAGCACGCCAAACTCAAGTGCATGCACAGGCCCCAGGGGTTGTGGCAGGGCATACGGCAGCAGTACAGGAAAGGGGTTTAGAATTCTTAGGGGTGAGAAGGCAGGGAGGGGACCCCCCACTCTGCCATCACAAAGACAGGACCCAAGAAGTGATAAACTCCTGTACACATCTGTTCCATATTATAAATACACATTATATACAAAACAATGTTATAAAATGTAGAAAGGTCAGTGCTTCTGATTCTTAAATTATCAAAATACTAGACTCCAAAATAAACTACAAAAAAACAAACAAAGTAAAAACTCATATTATTGATTTCTGAAGATCGGCTTTGAGGGTGGTCCTGGGGCAGTAGTGGGTGGTGAGCAGAGCCCCAACTCGAGGTTGTAGAAGTGGGTTTTTGAGGGAGGAATGGGTGCAGGTGGTAATAGCACCCAATTTCTCCCTCATTGGAATTTCCGACATAACCACCCTGAGCTCCCCAATTAGGCCTAGCGCCCCTGGCTGGCAGAAGGGGCAGGCTCTTGCCTATCTGCTCACAGAAGCCCCAAGGCACCCAATGCCAGAGGGTGGTGGGAGCTGGGTAAGGCTGACCAGCATTCTTGCCCAGAAGGCCTAGGCTGGGTGGCGTTCCCAGCCAGGCCGACGCGCAGTAGTTGAGGCACGGGGCAGAAAACGCTCCTCTCCCTTTGAGCACTCACCTCATCTGCAGGGCAGCCCCTGCCATTGCCGCACCCAGTGGTTTTCTGGCCTACAGGAGGCCCTGCCCTCACTGGCCCCCTCTCTCCTTTCTGATTTGGGCCCGGCTGTCGCCATGGAGCCTGGGCCAAAGGCACTTTTGGAAACACAGATGCCAGTGGAGGCCACAGCAGCTCCAGACCCCATGGGGCCACTGCCACTCTTTCTGGAAAACAGGCCAGGGCCCCAAAAGAAGCCCTCTGGTGCCACTGCTGGCAGGGCAGGTCCCAGTGGCATCTCTCCTTTCCTCTGTTCCCTGGCTGGTGCAGCTGCCAATCTGACGCCAGACAGACACCCAAAGGTGTGGAAGGGTATTGCATCTCTTGGCAAGTTCACAGTCTATCCAGTTCATGCCATTCCCTCCTCCTCCTGAGAGCAGCGCGTTGCATATTAAAGACGTCCCATCCAGGATGCAATGTAAACAATGCAGAAGGAAGGTCCAGCTGCTGGGCCCAAGCCAGGATGTGCTGGGTAGGCTCCTGCCTTATACCTGGGAGCATGTGGACAGCGGGAAATGGGTTACCTGGGCACAGTACTCCCTCCTCAGCTGCCCCCGGCCTTCCCAGGAGAAGCTGGTGGGCAGGCAGGGTGAAGGGCAGGTGGGGTGGTCTTCCCCAGGCTTCTGCCCCAACACACACACATGCCTGGGAGCTTGTGCTTGTGAGGTGGCCCAATGGAGGAGGCCAATGGGGAGGGGCAGAAGGGGCATAAGGAGTGAGGGGCCCCTTACCCACCAGTGGCTGGCAAGCAGCGCCTGGGAGCTGGCCCAGTGCAATGGCCACCCAGCCCAGCACCAATACAGCAGGAAGGGTCCAAGGCTAGGCTTGCCACCACGGCTCCTGTTTCACACCCTCTGTGACAATGAGGACAGCAAGGGACCCAAGAGCCATTGAACCTGGCCTGGTGAGGAGGGGTCCTGACCCATCCTTCAGGAATAGCCCATGGGGTTGAGAGAGACCAGGCCACAGAAGGCAGGAGGGCCATGCTAGAGGGGCAGGCAAGCCCAGTACTCACCTCTGTGGCAATGACACACTCGTTCCTCTCCTCTGATATCAAACACACAGACTGGTACATGGAGTCCCTGGGGGAGCATATCGCTGATATCCGACACTCTGGCTTTTCACTGAGGGAACACAAGACAGGCGCGTGAGGGAGAGATGGGTAGAGGCTTGGGGGAAGGGTGGGCCTTGGAGGGCCAAAGGGCACCCGCAGAGGTGGTTCTGGGGGAGGACATGGGGGTTGGAGGTGCCCAATGCTGGCCTGGAGGAAGCAGTTAGGAACAGGCCCCTAAGAAGGTCACAGGACCACCAACCTTACCAGAAGGATCTTAGGCCTGGAAAAAGCCAGCACTGCCACTAGAGGCAAGCCACGCTGTGGAAGTCGCTGGGGACACACTAGGGACACCTCACATTTGTGAGTGAACAAGCAAATGGGAAGGAAGGACAAAGGACCCCTGGCAGAAATCTTGTTGGAGGACCTTCCTGTCAGTAACAACGCCTGCCCTCCCCCACCCCCCGCCGAGGCTGCTGAAATGCCCGCCCCGGCCTAGGAGGAGCCCATGCAGAACCATGAAGGGCCCCGGGCCAGGCCCTGGGCTGCTTACCTGTGTAACCGCAGTGGTGCCTTCTCTCCTAAGCTCTTGTCACTGTGGGGAAACTTCCCCGGCATGGTCCCCCGCCCCAGGGGTCCTGGGGCCAGATTATAGTCCAATGTGTGGTTTTGCTGTTTGCCACAGTTGGACTTGTCCAAGCCACAGTCCACTTCCAGCTCCTTCTTCTGGTTTGTGTTCTTAAGCTGGGCGGCAGGGATCAGGTTGTCCTTCTGGAAGTCCGACAAGTTGTTCATGGCCTCCCTGCTGCCGTAGTCTGGCCGCCGAAGTCGCAGCTGCCGCACAGCCACCACCACCATGCCCAGCAGCACCAGCAGTACCGCCAGCCCCACACCCAGTGAGACAGCCACCCAGGGGAAGCTGGGCGGCAAGCCCACGGGGAACTCGCAGCGGCTGCCCACAAAGCCATAGGGGCAGTTGCAGACGAAGTTGTCCGGGGAGAGGCCAGTGTAGCAGGTGGCCCCGTTGAAGCAGGGCCCCGAGGCACAGGCATCGCTGGGTGTCCGCACCTCGCAGCGCCGGCCAGAGAAGCCGGCAGGGCAGGTGCACATGAGCCCGTTCTCCAAGTCATGGCAAGTGCCGCCGTGGGCACAAGGGCTGCGGGTACAGTCGTTGACATGACGTTCACAGTAGGCGCCTGTGAATCCAGGACGGCAGCGGCACATGCGCGTTGGACCTCGGTTCAGGCACTGGCCCCCTGCGAGGACACATGGGACACAAATCAGCTACAGCCTGGGAACCCCCCCCCAGGGCAGGGGGTAAGTGCCTCATCCTGGGAATGAACTCACGCTCTTCTGTATGCAGCCAGCATTTATAGAGTCCCCGGCAAAGAGAACTGCACAGAGCCAGGAGACCTGGAGTGCAGGGTGACTCTGATTCTCCATGCCTCAGTGGGCTCGTGTATAAAAATCACTAGCATCTTACAAAACTTTCAGGTAGAATCACACAGACACGCGTGGGTTTGAATCCCAGCTGGCTCTCTCCAGCTGGGGACCCAGCACCTGCCGCTTTATCTTATCCCTGAGCCTCGGCTTCCTCCTACGTTAAATTGGAATAGAAGGCTATGCCCTCCACGGGGTAGCTCTGAGGGTTAGGTGGGAAGGTGAGCGAAGGCAAGAGCACATGCTTGGTATGTAGCGAATTCTCAAGTGAGTGTAATTATCATTTTTCACTTTATCTTCACAACCACAGGAAAGACAAAGGACAGTGTTCTGTCTTTCCATTCAGTGACAAAGAACTGGCAGCTCCAGGGGGTTAAATGAGAGCGCAGACTCCATCTCAGCTCACCTAACCTCTCCCCAGCCCCTGCGCTGCTCTCGAGCATGGTGCTGTCTGCCTGCCTCACAGAGGGTCACTTGGAGGCCAAGTAGACAAGGATTACGAACACGCTTTGTGTCCCAAAAGGTGCTGAGCATTCTAGATGTGTCATGTCACACCATGCTCTATGTGGGCATGTGGCAAGATGAGGCCTCCAGGAGCAGGGCTCTGACCCTGTCACCAACCTCCCTTCAGCAGGGACACAAAGCCTCCAACATCCCTCTCTCTAGCCCAGGATTTCCTGGGGAGGGTCAGAGGGCATCCCAGCCAGGACAGGGCTCTGACATGGGAAGCTACGAGGGTACACACCAGCCCATCTCCTAATGCCTGCACACCACTAACCTGCTCCTTCAAAGCCCCGCACCTCTTCACCCTCCAGAGCAGATGGGGGCCCATGTCAGACTTCCCAGGGTGACAGACAAAGCCTCTCTCCTCTCCTCTCCTCTCCTGACCCTCCCTCACCAAAGGGCAAGTCCACCAGGTTAGCAAGGCAACAGGACGCACCATTGGCACACGGGTTGCTAGTACATCTGTCCACTTTCTTCTCGCAGTTGGAGCCAGTGAAGCTGGGGGGGCACTCACAGGCATAGCTGGCCCCCTGGCTGCGCTCCCGGCAGGAGCCCCCATTGAAGCAGGGGGAGTCAGCACAGCTCAAGGTACTATATTCACAGTGCAGGCCGTAGTAGCCTGGGGGACACAGGCAGTGGTAGCCATCCTCCTGATCCTGGAGAGAGACCACAAAGGGGCCAAAGTCAGACCCTTGAGGGCAGGGATGTGTGACTAGAGGCTGGGCTCCTCTGCCCACAATGCCTTCCCATGGCTGCACATCCACTGGCCTCCTGGCTGGGGGATGCCTGGACACCACCTGGCTTGACCGCTATCTTCCTTTGCTAGTGTGGCCCTCACCTTACAGCTGCCCCCATTGCGACAAGGGTTGCTGTCACACTCGCTGAGCTCCAGCTCACAGTCCACGCCAGTGTAACCTGGGCGACAGGTGCAGGTGTAGCTTCGCTGCCCACTGTTGGAGCATGTTGCCCCATTCTTGCATGGGGAGTGGTGGGTGCAGTAGTTGAGATCTGCAGAGACAGGAACCAAGCAGCTGAGCAGGGCCAGGGGATGCTCCCACCTCCAGGCTCCTTGTAGTGCAAGTTCACCCCCATGTTTGGCCCAAAGATGCTCCAACTCAAAGTCTTTCAGGCCCAAACAGCCTTCCTCTCCAACCAATGGAATCATGTTTTCTGAAACATCTTGAATCATGTATGACCAGTACAGTCAACCAAGGTTGAAATAACATGGGTGGAAGACATTCTGCCAGGTAAGGTCACAAATGCCTCCAGCCAATAGGAAGAAGGTAAGGAAAAAGAGGGGAGGGCAAGGCCACATGTTGGGGAGGAAGTCAGAAAAGGCTTCATGGAGGAGGGGAGGCTGAGATAAGCCTGGAAGGAGGGATAAAATTTCAACAGGTGGAAATGGTAGAGGCAAGATAAGAGCCACCATAGGTAGTGACCAGGCATTTTTTAAAGAAGGAGATGTTATAAGGCTATTTTGAAATATAAGTATTTGTTTTCTTATTTGGGAAGGACAGGGAGGGAGAATCAGACAGAGCAAACATATGCAAGGGCTGTGTTTGCATACGGTGAGTGTATGACTGTATCACCGGGGAGCAAATGTGGGGGAGAGGAAAGAGAATGAGCAGGAACCATGTGTGTGTGTGTTGGGGTGGGGACAGGGACACACACACACACACACACACAGAATACAGGGACTAAATCCCAAGCCCCTTGTTGACAGCAAGTCAGGGCCTGGGCAAGTTCCTCCCATCCTGCCAAGCCCCTGCCCACCCTCCCCAGGCCTGTGCTGTTGTCTCTGTGACAGCAGGCACTCCATTTGACCCTGAAAATGGGAGGCACAGGCTGCAGCTGGCTACCAGCATGCAGGTGAAATGGTTCCCTGCCCCAAGGTTGGGGCTCAAAGATCCCTGTGTAGCCAGAAGAGTGACTCACCCCCCAAACACCAGGCAGGGACAGCACAGGCACAGGCAGCTGCCTGGCAAATGCAACTGGGGAAGAGCAAGGGAGGCTGTTTGTGCCCACACTGAGAAGTCGGTTAGCTATCACTCCGCCCAGAGGCCCAGCTCCCCCACAGCCCCTGGCAGCCGGTGGGCACACCCCACCAGACAGCTGTTTAGGGGAGAGCTGCTCAAACAGCCTGGAAGGTAAGCAAACACTTAGGGGTTAATAGGTAACTACAAGCAGAAAGCGGAACTGAGCCTGGCATCCCTCTCTCTTTGGCTTTGCTAGAATTTATGAGTGTAACCTCCAGGTCACCAACCTGTCACCCTCCTGGCTTCTTCAGCCACCCTGGGTCTCCAGCATCTGGAGAAGTACCCACCGGCTCATTTTAGCCCAGTTGTAAAGGTCCTTAAAAGTACCAAGATCCTTGAAGGATAATGGGGAAGCCAAGGCAGCAGTCACCAGGTAAGAAGGATCCAGGCACAATGCTGGTTCCCACCCCCTGCCCCATCTTTCCCACCAGCTCTGCATCCTCTCCTTGCCCCAACTCACCTTGATCACAGAACAGGCCTCCCCAGCCCTCATCACAAGTACACTGCCAGGGGCTGCTGCAGGTGCCGTGGCGACAGCCATTGTGGGGGATGCATTTGTTGCACAGACGGCCCTGCCAGCCTGGGCGGCAGCTGGGGGACAAAAGGGAGGCTGAGAGTGAGGTGAGAGGCCTGGCCAAGGGAGTGAGCCCCCTCACCACTTCCTGCCCCTACTCACAGGCACTCTGCTGGCTTGCTGCAGTAGCCGTTCTGCTCGTGACAGCCAGAAAGACAGATAGCTAAGGAAAGAAAACAGGGCTGGGTGAGGTCGGGATGCCGAGGACTCTGAAGTCTCCCTCTCCCCTCCTGGCCCTGGAGGTGCCCCAGCTCTCCTGGGCTCACTTCCCACTCCTGGCCTCCCAGAGGAGCCCTGGGTATCTCAAAAGGAAACAATGGCAGAGGGAAGGAAAATCCAAGCTGGACGAACAAAGTAATGGGGTCCTTGTGGGCTCTGGCATGATGGGGAGGAGCCCTTGGAAGAGAGAGGAGGTCTGAGTCCACACCCACCCTCAGCATCCCCAGACGTCCCTGAGGCCCAGCTGGAGGGCCGTCCAGACCCCCTCTTCAGGGGAGGCAAGCTGTGGCCCAGAAGACTACACTGTGTTTGCTCAGGGGACCCTCCACCTCCATGCAGGTGGGAGCTTGGCTACTTACGCTGTTGGCAGTATTCCCCAGTCCAACCAGGCAGGCAGGACAGGTTGCCATCTGGCTGGCACACGTAGTGGCCAAAGTGATCATTGCGCTTCTTGCACAAGCGTGAGCAGCTGTCCCCATAGTAGTTGTCACTGCAGATGACCCGGTAAGAGTAGCGCAGCTTCGTGAGGGTGCTGGGTTGCTCATCCAGTAACCAGTTCTGACCCACAGCTAGGGAGCCCTGGATGGCGATCTTACTGATGAGTGCATCTGGTGGCAAGGCCTCTGGAGAGGAGGGGGGCAGGTCAGGGAAAGGCAGCCAGTCCCCAAGGGTGCCAGCAACTGCTGGCCAATGCCTCTCTTGGCTGTGATGATGGTGAGCAGCCAACAATACAGCCCAGTTGTCCAAACGACCCCAACCTGCCAGCGAGCACAGGCCAAGGGACCTGAAAGTCCCACTATTTAGCTGACCTGTGTGTGTGCGTGTGCAGGGGTCCTGATATCATTCAAAAAGGGGACAATAGAAGGATGTTAAGATATTCCAGGGTCCTGGAGGCCGAAGGAGGAAAAGAGGTCAAAATGGAAAAAAAAAAAAAAAGGAAAGAAAGAAAAAGAAAAGCTCTCCAGGCTGGGGAGGACTCTGGGAGCAGGGGCTCCTTTGGTGCCCATTCAGGGGTTCTGCCCCCAGAGGTGGGTTGTGGTTTTCTTTTTCCTTTTCAAAGTGAGAATTGTTGTGCTGCTGAAATATCCTTTTCCTCTGTGTCAGAACAACATCCCAAAGCCATTATTCCCTTTCCAAAGGAGCGGAATTCGCGAAAGGTGTAAAATACAGGAAGGGGCCCGTCAGCGGCGCTGGCAGCTTCGGCCTTTCTCACCGCCGTGCTCCCCGCGTTCCCACGCCAAAAATAACCCGCAGGAAACGCAATTGTGCTCTGAGTCCAGGCAGCGGGCGGAATCTGAGCGTCCAGCGCGGGGCGCAGCTCCAGGCCAAGCCAAGCGTCCTGCCTTCCACCCCCAACCCCGCACCTCCCCCGCCTTTAACAGGTTAACTCTTTCAGCGCTGCGCCGTGTCGCCCCCCTGTGGCGGCGGCGCGAGCTACTCACCTGGCCGCAGGTCGTCTCCTGGCGCGTGCCAAGCTTCGATGATGAGTGAGAAGGTACCCTGGGGAAGGCGGGGGGACGGAGAGATAGCGAGATGAGCAGGGGGGAGAGAGGGGGTGCCTGCGGCAGCCGGTTTAATTAATCTAATTGCAGGATATAGTTACTGCACCCGGGTGGACATAACGGGTCTGCGCGCAGTGTAGCACTTGAGCCCGGAAGGGGAGAGGAGAACCCCGGGTAGGGGGAGGGTTGAGGGATGGGGGAGTGTAAGCGAGAGCCCTAGTGGGGGGGGGGCGATGTACCTCACCAGGGTGGTAGGTAATGCAAATTGTGTCCCAAGAGCTGGGGGAAGGGACAGCGTAAAACAGGGAAGAGGGAGGCTGTGAGAGCCTTCTCTGGGATGAGGTCTCAGGAAAGAGTTAGGAAGAAAGAGCCAGGAGCGAATGCACGCTGGGGTGTTTTTGGGGGGAGGGGGAGGATATCTGGGGAGGGGGTTTGGTCCTAAGGCGCCTCTTCCTCTTGGCTTCCGTGACCTCCCAGTGCGCCAGGCTGTGCTCACCGGCCAGGTGAAATTGAAGGGCAGTTGGAGAGGGTTGCGGCCCCCGCCGCTGCTGTCCTCCGGGACCGCGAAGGAGTTGATGCCTAATACCGGCGTGGAGACGCTGCCGAAGGTGCAGGGCCCGGGCGAGACGACCGCCTGGAAGTGCTTAAGGCAGACGCGGAAGAAAGTCCGGCAGCCGGGCTCGCACGGCCGCCCACTGGCCAGTACGCCGCGCTCGTTGGCGAACTCCTGCAGCTGCAGCTGGAAGATGCCGGAGCCGGCCGCTCTCTATTGCACAGGGATCGAGGGAAGGAAGAAGGGGATCGGTCAGCTCAGCTGGCTCTCGGGGCTCAGGCCCAGAGCGCGGCAGGAGGGAACAGAGAGGGCGCGGGACGTTACCTGCTGCCAAAGTGCCACCAGCAGCAGTAGCGCCCAGCCAGAGACGCTCCAGGACGCGGCCGCCATCCCCTTTGGGGCGTCGCTCTCTCCACCCGCCGGCCCTGAATCTGGTTCTGTTCTAGATGCTGTTTTCCCGCGCGTCCGCCCGCCGGCGCGGTCCCTGGAAAGCCGAGCTCCTCTCGGGACACTGCTCCCCCCTGGCCTTTTCGCTAGCTCTGCTGCAGCTACCGCGGTAGGTAATCCAGGTGAGGGCGGCTGGGCGGTGTCCGCGTGGAGGACGTGTCCTCGGGCTAATCCAGGGGCTGCAAGCGGGCTAGTGCTCGGGTACAGTGCACCGAGGCGGCTTGGGCTGCGGCTCTTGGCCTCGTGTTCCCGGCCTGAGAGCAGCGCGGCTACTGAAACCTGCGCTCTCAGGAGCCTTCCTTATATATATTGGCTCCTCTCCTCTCCGCCTGTCACTCAGACTCATGGTCACTCTCCCCTCCCCTCCCGGCCTTTAGCTGCTACAGTCCCAGCGCCGCCGGGAGGGGGCCTCCGCCCCAGTCCCCCCTCCCCGGCAGCCAGTCCGGCTTAGGTCTCCGCCCCTCGGTGCTGCTCCCAACCCCTGGGTACCCCAGCTCTGCGCGTGCCGAGGTGACCGGTCATCGGAGATCGCTGGGTGAAGGGCTGAGACCCTGGCCGCTGGAGGATGGGGGTGGGGGGGCTGGCCGGGGGATGGGGTGGGAGGTGAGTGAGTGGTTCCGGGATGGTCCTGGGGGCGGAGACATTAGGGAGTCCCCGTAGGCGGTGCGTCGGCAGCGGGCGCTAGTTACCTGCTGTCCTCGGGCAGGTAAAAGAACTTAAGGCCGGAAAGCGAAAACCAGCGTCAGGGGACTCCAATCTCCTTTTCCTTCCTGGAGCTTGGGGAGCCCTCGCCTCGTCGGCCCCCAACCAATGAGCGCCCACCCACCACGCGTCCCCAGCGCAGCAGGGAAGCTAGCGGTCGCGTTAACCTCTCCTTGGCCACTCCGAGCAAGGCGAAGGGCCACGCGTCTAAGACAGGGGCCCTCACCCTACACCTGGTGGGCCTCTCCCTCCCTAGCTGTGGGGACGTGCCCAGCGCGTGCCTTCTCCTTTTGCCCTTCCCCCCGAACCCCCCGCCCCCGCCTCCGCCTGTGTTTGGCGCGTGCCAACACCCAGACGCGTGGTCCTCGAGGTGGGGGAAGGCGGTGCATGGTCTCTGAGGTAGGAGGGGGTGCGTCCTCAGCTGTATGGTAATAAGGTTCTGGCCCCGCCTCCAGTGCGTCCCCTCACCTGGGATCCGCTTCAGCTCCAGCGCCCTTCTCCCCCTACCCCAGCAGCCCCAAGCCCCCGGCCGCGTCCTGTAGCTCCGCTGGGGCAGGGAGGAACTCTTTTGGCTCGAGAGTTGGCTCAGGCCACTGGAGAGTCAAGGTGAGGGGGCTGAGGCCGGGCAGGCCCAGGTCCTCTCCTCTTAGGGTGGGATGTGGGGTGGAACTGGAGGCGCGCGGATTTGTTTGAGTTGCAGGCGGCTTCACACGCCTCGCCCTCGAGGCTCCCCCGGGTGGCCCCACTCCTCCGAGCCACAGCGGCGCAGCTGCTTTCCGGGAACCCGGCGTGATCCCCGGAGGCCGCAGACCGGGGAGGGCCGGCTTCTCCCAGTCTCGGGGGTGCCGGGGAGCTCTCTCTCTGCGACGCTGAGGGCGGCGGGGCCCTGTGGCTTCAGCTGTCAGCCCGCCCGCGCGGTGATGGCTGTCGTCGGGCGATAAGATCAGCGCGGGGGGAGTGAGGACGCGGCGCGGGCCCGGGGGAGGCCGTGGGGGGGGGCGGGGAGCGCGGCGAGGAGCCCAACAGCTGCCAATGCCGAACGTGGTCTGATTTTTTTGACTTGGTTAGTGGTGGTGGAGGATTGAGGGGAAAAGGATGAGAAACAAGAGGTTGGGAGCGTGGGTTGGGGGAGGGGCGAGGTGAGGAGACGGGCTCCGGGGTCCCCCACGCACGGCCACCCCTCCCAGCCACCATCTGGCGCGAGCGGGTTGGCGTGGGGAACCGAGGTGGGGCGGGGGCCGGCAGATGGGCCCAGCCTGCGCTCGGGAGTTAATGTAGGTTATGGGCAGGCGGAGTCCCAAGCCCGAGGGAGGGGGAGCCCGGGGCGTGCCTCCCGGCGGTCCTGGCAAGTGGGCTCCCAGATCCTCTCCCCGTCCATACTCCTTAGATCCCTGGACCTGCCTCTCTAGGATGCCAGAGGGTGCTCCTCGCTCTCCTCCAAGCTGGCATCCAGCTCTGCCTAGCTCTCTCTACTCCCATCTCCAAGTCCTGGCCTGGGAGTTAATAAAAACAGCTTTTTTCCTGGTGCTGGCACTTAACTGACCCTCAAGAGGGACATCTAGTCCCACACAAGTCATCTCTCTCAACACTGGTAGATCTGGAATACTCTCTACTTTCACACCAGGACTAATGTGCCAAAAGCACTTTGCGAATGGTCAAGGACCACACAAAAGTTGGGATCATTATTATCTTCAGAGACACCAAATGCACGGGATCCCAGAAATCTAGAAAGTCTCTGACCTGGAGAGGAAAGGGTTAAATTCGCAATATCAAAAGGCGTTTATAAAGCACATATTTGCTAGGGGTGCTGTTCCAGAAGCTCATTACTGGGCTAAGAAGCCACCCTTGGCCCTGGGTACCTACTAGCGCTCCCCCTTGAGCTGCTGGGGTCGAGCTTTGCGCAAATTTGCTGACCAGGAGAGGGTCGCACTGCGGGCAGGGAACCGGAGAGCTAAGGCCGCAGTGTTTGTCCCCACGCCACAGCTGAGGCTGCTCCTCCCTTCTCCCACTGCCGACTTGCGGGCGGTAGAACACAACGCGCGTCCTGCGGGCTCACAGGAGCAGGAGGCTGTGAGGCGACGCGAGCCAGCAGATCACCGTGGGCTAGACCTGAGTCGAAGTCGGCTGCCCCTCCCCCTGACACGGAGGCTCAACGACGCCCTGGAGCATGCATAGACCCAGGGCCCGAACCACTTGGGCTCCCACCAACTGCGGGCCTTCCGCAGGTCCACGGTTCCTCCACCCGACCCGCACCCGCAAACACTGCCCAGGGGCGGAAGCCGGAGCAAGGTGAGGCCTGGCTTCACGCAAGGCCCACAGCCTCCACCCGTAGAGGCCTTCTATTTTTGCTGTCCCTTCTGCTTGGCCACTGCGCACAGTCCCACCAGCAGGCAGAAGAACCAGCACCTGGGGCTGGGAAACGCCAAGGTTGCCTTCCAGCGGTACCCCAAGCTGATCCTACGTTATTGGGGTGCTACCGGAGCCCCGTAGAGCCTCCATACTCTCCCTGCTGTGTAGCCTACGCGCGCTCCCCCTGGCCTGAGGCGCAGCTCCCAGGCCTCCAGCGCCGTTTCATCCCACCTCTCCCCTACCCCTGCTCTCCCAGGGGACAGCGCTCTCCATGGGGCGCTCTGCACCCGGGTCGGAGCGCTGCTGAGGCCGGGCCACAGAGCCCGCTGGGCAGGCCGTGGGCGGGGACGCAGGCCTGGCTTGGGCGGGGCGCTTAAGCCTTGAGGGGCGCCGCTGCGGTCGCTGTGGAGAAGGGGCCACGTGCAGGGAGCGGCGGCCGGAGAGCTGCACAGAAGGCGGGGAGATTTGCAAACTGTTGCTGCCACATGGCTGCTCCATTCGATCCATTCACATTGAAATGAGGCCGGCGCGTGCCTCATCTGCCGCAGGGCGCTGCCACGCGTCAGCCCGGCCCGCCGCGTGCCAACTGGGGCAGTGGGGCTGGCAAGGCCTGCCAGCCGTGGGGGCGCAGCCCAGGCCCTGCGGCCAGGAGGGGGTAGGGGGAGGGAGTGGAGCTCCCCTAGCCACTGAGGCGCCGCAGTTTCGCGGACCTTGGCCCTACAATTGGGAATGAGCTGTTGAGAAAGGACCAGGACGGGCAGGTTTCAGAGGGGGGCCGGGATCGATGCCGCCTCTCCCCGCAGATGCGCCCCGGCAGCGCTACTCTCCATCTGCCGCTGCTCGCACCTGCCGGTCAATAAATCGATTTTACAATTTAATGCAGCAGCTTCCCGCCCGCCTGGGACAGATGCCGCCGCAGAACCACCTCCGCCCTCGCCCCTCCCCTCGAGAGGCACCAGCGGTTAGGGACGGGATTCCCGCTCAGCAGGCGGCGCCCCGCGAGGCCTCATTCACCTCTCCTGGAGCCCCTGCAAGGAACTGCCTGCTCTGGGTTTTTCCCGAGGGACAGAGTGGGTTCCCCATAGGACAGGCCTGAGGCTGGTGAAGCTGAGAGAGGAAGATGATGACTTGGTGGCCTTGAGAACTCACTGGGGGGGGGGGAGTCAAGGAAGGAGCAGAATGCAGCGACTGATGATAAGATGTAAGGGCCCCGTGAGGAGGAGGGTGTAGGGCCTGGGGGATGGGCACGGGCACTGAGGGACTCATTGAGTTCTGAAGAATCTCCCTGAGAGAAGCCTGAGCAGAGATGGGGAGGATCCAGGTGGTATGGAGCCTCTCCCCACCCTCCAGGTGAGGCTGGTGAGTAAGCATGACATGAACCTGGCTCTTAGCACTTCCTAACCACGTGGTCTTGAGCTTGTAACAATCCCAACTCTACACCTCAGTTTTCTCATCTGTGCAATGGGAATAATAATAATAGTGACCTGGGAGGGTAACTGAAGGACTGTATCAGAGTGTGCATTTGCAGGACCCAATAAACAATAATTTCCTTTCCCCCAGGTGGTATCCAGACAGCCAGGGGCCAACTTGGACCAGAGGGGCGGGCGATCCCTGACTGCAAAAGAGTTCCAGGAGGAAAGGAAGGAAAAAGGAGAGCAAAGACAAACCCTCATAAGGGATGACACAGGAGAAACAGAGGGTGGGGAAGGAGAGGAAAGTGAGGTGGGGCATGGAGGGGATATAGACCCTGTGGAAACAGTCAACTGTTTGAAGACCTTTTGTGGGTAGAGGGTGTGACAAAGTTCTTGCCTGGAGGGAGAAGACTGGAGCTTGAGAATGGGTTTGGAGAAGATATGAAGGTTTGGAGGAACCAACTGCTAACGCACAGTCTTGGACCTCTAAGACCAAGATG